AAAATGTAATGAACTTCTTTCTCATTGATCAGAATTATTCAAACTTGACAGGAAGTGAAACTCAAAAGTCCTGATTACAAAAATGTGCCACAAGACGAAGCCGTTGAAGATTTTCTTTCACGTATTGAAATGTATGCAAAACAGTATGAACCCATTGATGATAAGATAGAAGAAAAGCATTATTCATTTATCAAAATATTTAATTGTGGTGAACGATTTCTTGTTCATAAGCTTGGTGGTAAGTATGATATGTTTATAAACTAATATTTCATCTTCGTTGTATATATTTTAGGCAATATCCAAAGTCGTGTTGTTTATTTTCTGATGAATATTCATGTTCTTCCAAGAACGATCTATCTCACTAGAGTCAGTTTATAGGTCTGCTAACTTATTGAAAAATATCTTATTCTGATATTCTTTAGCATGGTGAATCGGAAATAAATGTTCAACAACGTATTGGAGGTGATTCACCATTATCAGCAGCTGGCAAAGCGGTATTGATTATCTTTATTTTTTTTATCATATTTGCTATTGTTTGAATATATTTTATTGTAGTATACAGAAGTTCTTGCTCAATACATTGCAAATGGTGAGACTTTTTAGAGTATTGATTTTGTATTGATTTTGCTTGCTTGTAAAAAAAAATAGAAAATATTACGGATTTGATTGTTTGGACAAGTGAAAGGCAACAAGCAATTCAGACAGCAGAAAAAATTAATGCTCCCAAGGAGTCATTGAAAGCTCTCAATGGAATCAATGCTGTAAGAAAACTTAGTCTACAACGATGATAAGAAACGAAGTTTTCCTATTTATTTTAGGGTATATTTGAAGGTTTGACCTATCGAGAAGTAGCTGAACGTTATCCTGAAGAGTTTGCTGCTCGTGATCGATCAAAATACTACTATCGATATCCAGGTGGAGAGGTAAATTGTCATTTTTCTAGTTTCATAGATATGCTTGGAGTTTCAGTTCTAATGTTGAGATAAATTTGATTTTGTATCTTTAAAATAAATGATCGAAAAATATCATCTATACCTATGCTTCATAGTAATTGAAACATATCTTGTATTTTTCATTGTTAATTTTCATTCTTAGTTGAAAATAGAAAAATCTCATTGTACACTATCCGCTCAAATTAGAATGCGCAATTTTTATTATGATGATTCGTCATCTTAGTTAATTTGTATAAATAAAGAGTAGTTCTCAGAGAAGACTTCGAATATATCAGCTGACTTTTACTTAGTACTCAATGTATGAAGCAGCTACATTTAAATAATAATTGATTTGAATATTGATTATCTTAGAGAAGCTTTTAATCTGAAACATTTTTGTTTTTTTTGACATAGTCTTATCATGATCTTGTTGCTCGACTTGAACCAGTGATCATGGAATTGGAAAGAGCAGAGAATGTACTTGTTATCTCTCATGAAGCTGTGGCTCGTTGCATTCTTGCTTATTTTCTCGACAAAGATCCTGGTACGTAGAAATCTTTTTATCTCATGCGATACCATTACATGACACGAGATCTATGCTAATATCAACTATATGTATTTCAATATAGATTGTCTACCTTATATCAAAGTGCCATTGCATACTGTAATTAAATTGATACCGACAGCCTATGGCTGTATTATGGAACGCATACCATTATCAGTTGAAGCTGTAAACACTTATCGAAGTAGACCAAGGGTAAACAGAAGTCTAATTATTACAAACACTATTGTACCATGATTTCTTTTTCGTTTTCTTTTTCTATCTAGAATTGTAGCCCTCATCGACCAGTTGCCGTAGCACTTAATGAATTTCAAGAAGTACGTTTGGAACCCAAGAGGAGTCCAACGACACTTCAGATCATCTATCAGAATGATGGTACAAGTATTGAAACGACTGATGCCAAAGGAAATCGAACAAAACGTTTGGATAGTATATTTGGTGATATTACATTAAATAATGGCTTTCCAATGGCTAACGATAGTAATAAGCAACAATCTGACATATAATCGAACATACTGATCATCTGCTTTTCCTTTTGTTCTTAATTAGCATGCGTCTGTAGCATGTGTTTTTGGTCTTATTTCCTCAAGTTCTTTTTTTTTGACTTTCTATCATAACTATGTACAAGAACAATTCCATTACATATGTGACACCTTGTACAGGATACTCTTCAAATGAATTTTAAACTTATCCATCGCGTAGAGCATAGTCGAATTTCTGAGTTTGCTTCAGAAAAATGCACTATTTGATACTATTCTCATCCCTTCTTGACTTATCTCAGTGTTCGTTCGAACAGATCAAAGTGGACAACTTATTAGACATCGTTACTTCATTGGAGTTGCAAAGCCAAGATGAAAAATATATTTCAATTGTTTATTTCTTGTTAGAATGAATGAAGATTTAAGAAAAATCAGGGAAAAGTGAAAAAAGTGACAAAATATTGATCCCCATGTTTTTTTCCTAAGCAGTATCAGACGCATAGCAGATTAATCGAGACTAGGCAGAATTATGTCTATCATTATGGTATAAACAGAAACATGCACTGATCAAGCTGAATATATTATTATGACCTAGGATTCATACGAGAAGAATAATTTTTATGTCAAAAAATGTGTTCCATCCATCTTGTATTAGGAATAATCACATCGTCAGTAAATAATAGTAGTTGTGATTTACACACTGCTACTCATTAACTTGGTAGTATCTATCAATCAATGGTATTTTCAAGAATATTACAATCGATTTTCTCTAGCTTTCAAATCAGTAATGACCACAAACATTCATTGATTCGATGGAACAGCTCTTCTTTGTATGGCGACGACATGAGTTTCATTTATATAGCCCTCAAGAAAACAATAATTTTCGTTATTGTTTTCTGTAAAAGTGGCAGCATAATCATCTTAGTGAATAGTAAAGAAACCTAAGAGTAGACTAGCAAGAGTGTAACGAGACTTCAACTATATATTCCTAATCGGATTCTTCACTCACTAAAATTCCCAGACATGTAAAAACGTCTTCAGAATCCAATAAACTTATTGTCAAATGAGGCAGCTTTATTTTCTGCAGTACAAGAACTAGACTATCGTGTGTATTCTACAATAGAATTTCGAGGTTACTATTGAAACTATTTCTGAAGTCGCAATATTCATGTTTATCGAAAGAAAGTAATTCGATACAGATTATATCAATCAAATTGGACTGTGTGTAAGAAACCAGTGAAACATTTTCAAACAACACTGTACTCAATAGCAGTTTAATCAAGATTGCTATGAAAATATTAACAAGAAACTAAGTCACATAAATAATTGTCGATTAACTGTTGTTTTCTACGATGTGACTGTCGATATCAACTGTACGTTTAAAGATGTACATCACTTTCAAATGCACGAATACAAACCCACACGCGCATTGGCATACACCTCCTATGATATTTTGTAATGCTACATATATATTTAATTTCGTTTTGATAAGATTATTTAATATTGAAAAAGCTATATAAAAAATATTATGTATACTATCATGAAACCCACTAGACCAAATAATTTGATACATATTTTCTCACCCAATTAAAGTTAATCATATCAGTGAAAATTATTTGATTCGTAAAGAAAACAATTTCATAATGCAAGTTTTTCAAAACTATAAAATTCAGTTCGACTGATAATCATTCCTCATTATAACTCTAGATCAATTACATTTACAGAAATTGAAGTTGATTCGAATGTTTTTATCGTCAGTTTTAATCCAACAAAAATAAAAAGTGTTGTTTTTTTACTGTATATGTTTTTATAGAATTAAAAAAGAACTACGAACAATTATTTTAATGCTTTATGTATGTGTTAGCATTATAAACAATGACAACATGAAAAGAGAAAGGAATCATATGTTGTTCTTGAATTCTTTAGCGATTATGTACTTTAAAAAAATTAAGCAAACGATCTTTAGATAGTATATGTGTATCTATATCTTTCTTTTTATCAGTGCTTTTATTTCTTTAAAATCTACTGAAATATACTAATAGGATACCAATCAAGACTGAATTTAAGTTTTGATATCTAATCAAGTTGTCGAATAGAAAACTGTATGATTCAATTAGTATAAATTTACTAAATTATTTTTGTTGCTTTTGAACTTCTGACAAGGTATTTGGGTATAAATTTAGTACTTATGTAAATCAAAATAATAATTTATTTGATAATTATTTGCTCAATGATATTGAAAGATACACAAGAAAAATAAAACTTAGTAAACTTATTCAGTTGTTACATTTGCTAAATCACAACGTAAATAAGTATAGCTAAGTTTTAATTGATCCCAACTCCAACGTTCTTCATCTAATTCTCGTCTTAATTTTCATGTGTCTTCATCGAAATAACGTTTTGTGATAATATTGTGTGTATGTAGATGTGATGCTTCTGTTCTGTGACGTTTACATTTGTATCTAAAACGAATTTCAATAAGTAAATGCTGAATTGTTGTCAATTCAATATAAAGCATGACATGATGACTTTTCTCTTCATAATAATCAAAATGAGTAAATAAAAGAAAAACCTCTGCATATTATATTTGTTCACATTTATGTCAGAGATAGAATTGAATATGGCACTGTATTTACATGAAAGTATATCTTTTAATGCAAAAATGGCAAGACAAAAACGGTCGACAAATTCGCATAAACAAAGCAAGTCATAGAAAAATGTTTATCAAAGAAAAAAACAAACAGGTACATCTTACCTGTGAATTATGTTTCTGTTCAGGGTGAATCGGATTCAGTCGTGCGGAAGAGCATCTGATGAAATATTTCAATATATTAGTTTAGTTAATTTTTTCGAAGACAATTTCAATAAAGTGCTAAATTAAGTTACAACTATGGCTTCATAATAAAAAGCAGCCATATAGTTCTTGTACTTTGAAACAATGCGTTACAGTTTTAATCGGGCGTCCAGATGTTTCGTC